GAGTCGCAGAAATTTTCAGACACTGTGTTTCATAAGGATAGGAAGAGATGAACCTTTAGCTTAGTCCGAAAGCCAACCCACGCAAACAAAAGTTTGGGGAACATCAAAATGACTGCTAAATGTCGGTTTACCCCATAAACAATGTAGTACAGGTCAGTTGGCATTTTATGTAAGGTTCCGATAATTTGGCCGCGTTTGATTGAATATAAGGGCGTTATTAACAGTCTTTAGGCACGTATTTGTGTGTTCTTATTCATAATAATGATATCAAAGTTTCGAAATTTAAAATTCACTCTTTTAAGTTGGCATCATTATACGATTCTTAAAAAATGTGTCAAGAAAATGGCTAACCTAAGTGACGTTGTAATGCCTGTTAAAACCCCTTCTGCATAATTTATTTTAACTTTAATAAATGGTAGCTTTGACTATGACGTCCTGTTAAAATTAAAGAAGCCAAAAACTCTGTGCCGTACTAATCTTTAGACTACTGACCTAAATAGTATGGGAGGGAATTACAACGTAGGATGGCGAAGCTGTTAATGAAGGTTCGCGTCTATTCCTTTAACCTTTCTAGGCATTACTTCCTCTGAGTCGTGCTGGTGTACCGGCAATTCCTCTTTCAAGTCCAAGTGTGCTACTTTCACGTAGTATCTTGACGAGGCCAGCATTTGTGCAGAAGCTGTACGACAGGCTGGATGCTGCTGAGCGTAGTATTGATGAGGAGGGAAAGCCTGGAACAAATCTCCCCTTTGACACCAAAAATCCTCGCCGTTTGGCTTTGACAATGATACTCTTTATTGGAATTGCGTTTAACATACCATTCTTTATCACCTATTCTCAGATGAAAGCCGCCAAGAGTGGATAGGAATCGTCTGTCATTACTCTCAGGATGACTTTCCGCCCAACGTTGACTACTTTTGTGTATCTTCTTCAGTATATTTTACTAGTTTACCTCTTGCCTGCTCTAGAAGCTGCACGGTAATAGTAGCCACCCTGCATGGCATTATTGAATCTTGGGTCGGAATGTGGCGAGCTTTATTTGGGCTTTACAGAGCGAAGCTAGGGACCGTCGCTCCTGCGTCACTGCCTGCAGGTGAGCAAGCCGCAAATTGCTAACTGTGGATGGGAGCTCTGACACCTCAGTGGGACGTATTGACGTTGGGTGTTACGGTGTTATCATGTGAAGTGGCTTTTGTTGTAGTCGGGAGTCGCAGTTGTCATGACTACGCTAGGTGTTTCTTACTTGAGTCTTATGTCTGCTACGCGGCGTTCGGTTGTTGTGCCGAGCTCCGTCCCGTCCCGCTCAGTGCGCTTATCGGGCTAGCTGCACTGTGGCCTAACTTCGACAGATCGGTAGGGGTAAAAATTTGCTTGAACTGC